AAAAAACACACCCCCACCAGTGTTAGTGCTGCTGGTAAGAGCAGACACCACTAACACCTGGGGAGAGGCTCCATCTATTAGTGGGAAGCGTCACCTGCCGGAAAACAGGTCCAGCTTCCCTTGTATGAAAAAATATCTTGAGAAGGTTAGAACAGTGACTGTGAGATCTGCCAGCATTGATTACCCTGCAAAACAGGGGATTGACTGAGCAGACCTTATGAGAATAGTGGCTATGGAGTCTGCCAGCATTGATTGCCCTGAACCCCAGGGGATTGACTGAGCAGGTCCTGTGTAATATCCAGCGAAGTAGCCTTGTGTGAGCATGCAGGGCAGCCAATCTCTTTTGTATCTCTTCACCCTTATAAGAAGGGCGTCAGATAGACAGTTAGGGACTGATACTAATCAGAGGAGCAACTCACTCCAAAACCATGCTCAGTTGCATTCAGAACCCTCATGCTCAATTGCTTCCAGAATACTCAAAAGGTCAGCATTGACAACCCCAACAGGAAAAAGAATAGAAAAAGGCATTGGTGGGGTCCAGGGGGCTCCAGGGAGGTGTTCCGCTTTGTGAAAGCCTGTAAGGTTTGCAAAGGAAAGTATCACGCTCAAGACAGATTCTCTGTTAGAGACAGGGCATGAGGAGGGAAGGAGTTCGGAAAATCCGAGGGAGGGCGTAGAGGGAAGGAGGGCTCTATGTTAGTCCAGTCCTTAAAAATTAGACGATAGTCTCTTATTTGCTCCAAATCATACGGCCCAACTCCCCGGTCCCCGCTCCATTCAATTTTTGCAATCCATCCTTCTCTTTCTCCCCCCACCCAGTCTGTGCAAAAAGTCATAATCCGTCTCCTGACGTCTCCAATTTGTTTGAAAAGGTCTAATTGAGATCTTGTGTCCAACCATCTCCGCGTAAGCTCAAGGTGAATCTGCTGCTGTATCTATTCTAGAACTTCCGCCCCTTCCACCCGCACCCTCTCCATGGCCAGGGTTCACCTCTGCCACCAAAGAGCCCAAATCACTACTCTCCTTCCCAGGCCGTACATATTCCCTACGAAGGTCGAGGCTGTTTCTACCAGCAGCCAATGCCCAGCCAATATGGCCTGCCATGACCAGGGCCAGGGAATGTTTGGTTCTATCTTCCGCCATATACGGTCCCACCATCTCCATATAAATTGAGCAATCGGGCATTGCATGAAGATGTGCTCAATGGTCTCTGCCTTTTTGTGGGGGGGAAAGAGACTTTGGAACTGTTGACACCAAGGGGGCAACATTCCTCTGTGTTCGAGGGTTGTGCGGTCAGCCAACCAATCCTTGGTTGGCAGACATCGGTGTGCTATTTGCCACTAAAGGGAGGTGATTTTCATGGGCTTGGATTTTTGTTCCTTGAACCAGTGGATTGGAGATAAGAGGGATCGGTCCACATTCAGCTGCCTGACCCATCTATCGTTGATCAAATCCTTCAGATACCGCTTAGGTATGAGCATTTTGTAGGAGGATTTGACCGTTAATTGGTGCAGGCTAATATGGCTTACCTTGGGGGTTCCCCTCTTATGGGGAGGCAGCCAAGTCCATTCCACCGGATCAAAGGTCAGGTCCTCGATTGGTTTGTCGGGCTGGTACACCACCCTTTGTCCTTTCTCTTCTAAGACCCTCACCCGATACACTGCCTCTTTATTTGTCCATTTGAAAGGTGCTCTACGCCCTTGGAGGGTGCCCTTTTTGGTGATGGTGTGCTGTTCAACCAGGACTAGTTGGGGTGAGACCATGTGAATCTGGCCGATCCTGAACGGGGACCCTGTGCATGCCACCCAATCCCCTATTCTCAAGGTAGGGCCATGTTTGAGGATCCGGTACCATTCCAGTGGGATGGCTTCAATGAGACTCTCAAAGAGTTCTTCCACACGGTGGCAATACTTTAAGGATGTTCGCATTTGTTCCTTTGTTTTCCAATCGTGCCTGTCATGGTCCCAGAGATCCCTAACCCGAAGGATGTCATGTCTAACCCAACTTTTCCAGGGCAGGGCTGAGCTCTTCATGACACAGCCCCTCGTGTCCGTTATCCATCTGTTCCCAAAGAGAGGTTGTCGGTGGACCTCCTCCCAACGGTTGGGGTGGTTCTTGTCTGGGAGCGGGAGATTACGTCAGGTTTGCAACAAGGATGGCCATAATGTGTCCATCGATTGAGCCCCTACTTCCAGTCTGTCCCTAACTTGTGGGAGTTTGCTTGGGACTCTCCAGAAGCGATTCTCCAGCCATGTCAGCGGATGGATCTTATGGGGGGCCTCCGAGGCCATTCGAGCCAAATGTTCCAAAGCTAAGACACACCACAGGCTATGGGGGGCGAAGATAAGCTTCTTAATCCATTTTATACGAAGGGCTTAGATCTGTGTGGCTGGGTCATCTATTCCCAATCCTCCTCCTGCTTTAGGTTAGATAATTGAGTCCCAGGCTACACGGTTTATTGCGTTGGTCTGCTCCCTATCCCCTCTCCACTGGAAGGCCGCTGCCTTTTTCCTCAGGCTTCTCAGGGCTGCTTTGCTCAATGGCCACAACAAGGATTTGTACCATAAGGACACAAAAATCACGTTATTAATAACCAACGCTCGACCGAAAAGGGATGTGTGTTTGTTCCTCCAGTTATTTAGTTTATGTTGGGTCGGGGTGCTAATCCACTCATCGTTGATGGGCGGTCGTCCCTCAGTGGTCATGGATACCCCCAAAATTCTTATTGGAGCCTCTAGTGGTTTCCATGCGACTCGTGGTGATTCTGGCGGGCGCCCCCCTTGGTAATGGATCCACCGGCCCTGTGTTTTAGAACCCCAATTAACTACCATATCAGACACCTTGGCAAATTTTTGCATCATCCGCTGAATTTCCTCCATGTTACGGTGTGTGGCCTCTGTCATTATTGTGAGATCATCCGCGAACAGAGAGCACACCGGGATTGCGTCCTCCAGGATACGTGTGACACACATTTTTGTAATTTTTTTATTAGCCCGGAGATTGGCGGCTAGTGCCTCCATAATGACCAGGAAAAGAAAAGGGGCTATTGGATCTCCCTGGCGGACTAATCTCTTCAAGTACATTTGTCCAGAAACAACCAGTCCATGTGGTCATAGGCCCTTTCGAAGTTGATGAAGATCAGAGCCGCCTTTTGGCGGGAGTGGGTCGTAAGTTGGAGGACCTCATGGATCAACAAGATGTTTTCTTGTATGTTCYTGTTTTCCATGAAACCAGTTTGAGCTGATGGATGATGTCTTCCATTATCGAGATCATTCTGTTTGCTAGGGCCTCAGACAACATTTTGTACACTACTGTGAGTAGCGTTATTGGGCTGTCGTTTCTGATATCCATCTTATCTCCCTTTTTATATATGAGGGTTAGAA